GTGGGGCACAACTTTACGTTTCTGAAAACGACACTGTAAGCACAGCTCTTATTGGTTGGACAGCTTTTTTGAAGTGCAACGAAAAAATAAATTATAACACCCCTCGATTAAAAAAGTTTCACTGATGGCATACGAAAGTTTGCATTTAGCATTTATCAAACATTTACTGTGTAAACATGCAACCTGTAGGCCTCCATCTGCAGACACCAGCTGAATTCTGGGACTTTCTCCTTCCATGATACCGTTCTGTCAAAACCGAGGCTCAGCAATGCCCCATCAGCCACATGCCCACTGAGAAAAATAACACACAACTCAAGATACTCTTGAGGATCCACATCAACCATTTGCACAAAGACCTTGTAAAAGACTAAATATTACCAATCAATATTTCATGCATATCTATATTCATTTTTAGACTTTAGACTTTTAGAATGGGGGTCCCGCGCACAAGGATGATCATATGTGGGATGTCTGTGGAATGTAAAAAATGCAAAAAATTTTGGTGTGGTGTCCTTTGAGTGGTGCAAAATTTGCTGCCAAGATGCTAGTCACAGTTGCCAAGTCCGCGTATGTCACGCAACTTTGGGCTTCTTTTTTTGCGAAGTTGGGTTAAAAAATCGTGTGGGGTTGCGGTTTTTTGGGCTTATTTGAAGAAATATGGTTGCTTGTTAGGAAAAACTGGCAAGCAACTTCGTTTCTTTACATTTATGGCCGATGTTTTTTTCCAGTATATTGTCGGCACTGTCTGCTTGCAGGTAAAAGCCAATCAGTGCAATATTTAATGTGCTGTAGCGTTATTCGTCAACGCACATAGTGCCCACTCCTCCCCCTTATTGGAGTAAAAAATTTTACGCTTTTAACATGCAAACATGTGACGGTGTAGATGTAAATAGACAAACAAGGCCACCAACAGAGATGTACAGAGATGGAGGAAACATGGGAGAAGGTGAATGGTGTGCAGGGGAGTAATGCATTAATCATTAGACGTAATATTAATTGTAGATACATATGGTTTGAGTTAATTTTATTATAAATAGCCTATGTGGCTATATTAAAGCTCCCACTCTTGAGAGTGCTCTTGTCTTGTTTTATTCTCCTTTTCCATCTCCATAGCTATCCTGCTCGCAGGTGATCGGAGGATAGTGTGTGGCCTCCCGCTTTGTTGCAATTTGATGAGTTTTGTAAAATAACTTCTGTTTTTGCTCTTGAAACTCCAAGGGGTTTCAGTTTACTATGTTGCAGCCTTGCAGGCTCATTTATTGATAATAATAAACAATTGATAATAAATGATATTGATGATAATAAATAATATAGGGCTTGTTTTTGAAGCTGCGGTTGCTTATTTAGCTTGCGAGAGTTGGCAACACTGTTGTGGACGATTACTGAGGCACTACATTGCTGGAGACTTACTAGCCCAAGTCTCCATGCAATTCTGGTCTTTCTTTAAAGTCTGAGATGTTACACCCGTTTTATTGTCAGCCAGGCAAACATCTCAAGTTTGATCTCTTAGAAAAGTCCTGAGCATAAAGAGTCTGGGATGAATTACATGCCTAAGCTTAATATTTAGGTTTAGGGGTTTGTTCATATAATTACACAAAGAGGTTTGCTTCAATTCCAATGTTTCCACCTATTTATTATAAGTCAGATTGTTCATTACTTTGCAGTTCTTGCCATTCCATCATCTGTGTCACTTTAACCAATTATTTTCAGGGCCTTTATTATTAATGATCCATCTATATGCTCAACACGTTTAAGTTTTCTGTTTAGTGTTGTCAATCAGTTCAGACTGATAAAGAACTAGTGAAATCTCACAGTCATATGGTTAGCAGGAGCTACATTAGCACACAAGCCAGCACCGCGTATTTATTTGAGCGTTTTTCAAGGAACTAAATGACTTAATGATTCAATAAATGCGATCTAGCGTGAATGACAGCTGGGGGTCAGTAACTCATGTGGAATGTGCGGGTGTTGATCCGGGAAGATAAAGTTAGAGCTGTTCCTGTAGGTTAAAGGTCATGATTGAAGGGTTAAAGCTCCCCACACACACACACACACACACAGAGGGATCTTCACTGCAGCAGCGCTTCACACACGGATAACAGGACGCATCTAGAATCTTCAAATTGTTGATCTCAAATGATAAATTAATAAGTCCATATGATAGTCTTTGTGTTATTTTGTGATCGGATCTGTTGTGTTTACCAGCGCACTGATAACAGATTAGCCAACTGATAGCGTTAGCCTGCTAAATAGCTTCATGTCTGCATCCGATTCGTTATGATATCCATTAACTGCTTTGTTATATGTATATTTATTGTTCTTAAATAACCAAAAAAGCTCTTACGGTTAGTTTGATCGCAGGCGTTTGCCGGTAATGAGCGATATTTTCTGTTATGCTAGCGGCTTCTACGCTAACGCGTGTTAGCAGGCCGGCTATCAACAGTGCTAATAATATTCTCCTGAATTATTAATTCTAACCAATTACTGCAAACACAGCGGGCGTTAACAATATAGAAAGGGTTATTCTTACCCTGAACGCGTGAGAAATTATCCAACTACTGTGATGTTTTGATAAATTATCCTAAACTGACGGCTCACTGCAGCTACAGGAGGTCAGAGTTCGCGACCCGCTCAAAGCAGACCTGTCGCGTGAGAAATTATCCAACTACTGTGATGTTTTGATAAATTATCCTAAACTGACTGCTCACTGCAGCTACAGGAGGTCAGAGTTCGCGACCCGCTCAAAGCAGACCTGCACATCTGCGCATGCGCAAATGCAGTCGTGAGACAGCATTGCTTTTAGTGAAGGTTGAGTGGTAGTGCATTTACGACGTTAGCCTCACATGTTATAGTGCTTCTGGAAGCCAAAATGATACATTGAAGAACTGGATACACATTTGGCAACAGCTGTCCCAGTTTAACCGATTGTTACATGTACAGTAGACTACCAACGTATCTGGTAATGGATAATGCAGTTTGCTACTTTCTAGTTATTGGTACCAGCCAAGAACCCATATAATTTAATCTAATTAACTGCATAGAATCAATAGGAAAGTGAATTGCGTAATGTATATATTACGTATATAAATATATATACACTCAGCAAACCCTTATGAAAATAAACCATGGTTTTACTACAGTACAAATAAAACAAAAAAAAACATGGCTACTATAGCTAAACTATGGTAACCACAAATTAACCATGGATTTGCTACACTAACCATAGTTTAACCATGGTATTGCCAGTAAAACTGTAGTTATACAAATGATAATAAATACGCCAAAAAACATAGTTACTACACTTTTACTGTGATAAAACCATGGATAATTTTTGTAAGGGAACATACCCTAAATCGTTATGAAACCAAGTTTAACCAGACCTACCGACATGTTTTCTTATTACATTACATTATTTATTAAAAATTATTTGCACTTTACATTTATGTTGGGGCATAGCCTACTACTCCCTTGAAATCCTCAAGATATTAACACATTACTTCAGGATGACAAACCTTCCTTTGGGAACTAGTGCCAATCTGACGAGAAGCATCAGGAATAGCAATTATATTTTTCTTAAAAGTGGATCACACGAAGGAGGAAAAAAACAAAACATAACAGTGGCGTTTCTAATTTTTCCCAAAATGCAAAAACAATCTTACAAAATGTAAACAAACATTCAACACACAAATGTGATCAATATCGAACATATTACCACAAGACAGAAAATCCATTCCTTGGACTTGTTACACTTCAAACTGAAAGATCAGTGGCTTTCTGTGGCTGGAGCTGACGAAGAACCTTAGTGAAAACTGTAGAGAATATAATCAGGTCATACCCATTGTCAAAGTGTTAAAGAGAGGTGGTCCTGAACAAGGTGCATTAGAGTATTTAATGTGTGTTACAGCTTTCCCTGATAAGAGCACTAGTTTTTCTCTCTGTATTCACAGCCGGTGTGCTATAATGTCTAATATAGTAAGTTAAAACAGTGCTGAGTTAGCCAGCCTGGCACTGTGTCTTTACTACACATAATTAATTGAGGCCATTAAACATCCTGAACTATTTTAAATACACCTGCATTATATTACCATTTACAAAATATGTACACTTCCAGTTCTGTCCAGTATAAGGTTTAAACAGTCAGTCAAAACACCTACTTTGTACAAAAGTTTTAAAAAAAATGTTTAAGATATATTAAAACATTTTTGTAACAGTAACAGGCTGAAAACCAAATAAAAAGGGCATTTTTCTTCAGGGAATACAAGCAGAATAAATATGTATAAATTGTTCATAAAACCATTCTTCTACAAAATATAATGCATTAATTGTTCATAAAAAGAACATGCCTACATGAACTGTTTCATGTAATGCATTAATCTTTGTTTAAAAAAAAACATTACGGAAATGCTCACATTTCATGCATGAACCGTTTGTAAAATTTAACAAAAATGCATGATTTGTTCTAAAATACATTTAGATAAATGGTTGTCAATCTTGCTCAATAAAAAGTAGGGATGCACGATATATCGGCCACCATATCGGTATCGGCCGATAAATGCTCATTTTTTTCTGTTATCGGTATCGGCCCGATAAAAAAATTTGGCCGATATCTTAAAGCCGATAAATAATGCATTATTTCCTTCAGAGACACTTCAGATGCGCGCTTCGGTATCGGCCAAAATGTTCATATCAGTGCATCCCTAATAAAAAGTATGCATTTTGTTACATTCAATATGTGAATCATTTGTAAAATCGTTTTTACGTAAATCATTGCAGGTAATGCATGAACGGTTCGTAAAACTATGGGTTTGGGTAAACTGTTGCAATCACTGTGCAAAATTTTTGTAAAAAAAAAAAAAACGTAATTTTTACAATCATTTGTAGAATAGTTTTTACGTAAATCATTGCAGGTAATGCATGAACTGTTCGTAAAACCATGGGTTTGGGTAAACTGTTGCAATCACTGTAAAATTTTCGTAAAAAAAAAAAACGTAATAATTTTTACAATCATTTGTAAAATAATTTTTACGTAAATCATTGCAGGTAATGCATGAACTGTTCGTAAAACCATGGGTTTGGGTAAACTGTTGCAATCACTGTAAAATTTTCGTAAAAAAAAAAAACGTAATCATTTTTACAATCATTTGTAAAATAATTTTTACGTAAATCATTGCAGGTAATGCATGAACTGTTCGTAAAACCATGGGTTTGGGTAAACTGTTGCAATCACTGTAAAATTTTCGTAAAAAAAAAAACGTAATAATTTTTACAATCATTTGTAAAATCGTTTTTACGTAAATCATTGCAGGTAACGCATGAACTGTTCGTAAAACCATGGGTTTGGGTAAACTGTTGCAATCACTGTGTAAAATGTTCGTAAAAAAAAAAAGTAACAATTTTTACAATCATTTGTAAAATCGTTTTTACATAAATCATTGCAGGTAACGCATGAACTGTTCGTAAAACCATGGGTTTGGGTAAACTGTTGCAATCACTGTGTAAAATTTTCGTAAAAAAAAAAACGTAATCATTTTTACAATCATTTGTAAAATCGTTTTTACGTAAATCATTGCAGGTAACGCATGAACTGTTCGTAAAACCATGGGTTTGGGTAAACTGTTGCAATCACTGTAAAATTTTCGAAAAAAAACCAAAAAATTTTTGCGTAAATGGTCTCGTTCAATGCATCAATCATTCATAACAAACTTTCACCATCAATCTCCAAAACTATGGTTTTATGTACAATTTTTACATAAAGTCGCTCTGTGCTTCACGATTAAGGCCCAGTCATTTTTAAGCCCTCTTTTCCCAGCTTTCACAGTTGAATCCAAAATCTCCCATAATGCACCATGCCAGACTGCACGGACTGCGCCACATGACCGTGCCAAAGGTGCGACCTGGCATCAGACATTCCTTTGTCATACTTGCTCATGCACATTCAGACTTGACCAAATCTTTTTAAACCCTCTTCAGGCAACAAGTGAAACTGCAATTAGATTCAAACCGCCCCTATTACATCATAATGGAGTGTTTCAGAAAAGTGGGCAGGATTAATTCATATTTAAATAAGATTCACAAGCAAACCTATTGGTCAGGAGTCAATGAAAACGTCTATATCTAGAGCTCATGACCAGTCATTGCCTGACGTTTTTGACCCTGAATGCTTTGTGGGCAGGATTCATGGTAATGTTAAGCACCAAAAGGAGCTGGCACAGAGAGGCAGTGTTTCCTAAAAATGACATTAAGAACAAAACGATGGATTAATGCCTCACAATGGAGGCAGACTGAATCAATTTACCTTCATTAGGCTGCTTAAAATAGATTAATGCATAAACTACATCTACCAGCATCCTTTGCTTCAAACTGGGTTTTGATTTATGCATCTTTAAACTCACTGCCTGTGTAAACAGTTCAGAAACCCAAAGGAGCGACATTCATTCATTCTATTTAATCCAATCCAGACCAGTCAAAGGATCATGGCCTCTTGAAACGCTTCAATCCATCTGAAAAAAAGAAGCACAGATTACGAATCTTAGACTAGATTCACAGAACAAACTCTATTCAACTCCATACAAGTGCTTCTGTACCTCTGAGCAGTGGGGATGTCCTCTGCTCTGAAGATGTAGTGGAGTGTGTTTTTATGATACAGTTTAAACTGCATTTTCTGAGCCGGTCCCGTCTTCTCCTCTCGGAGGAAAAAGCCCAGCAGCGGCTGACTCTCCAATGCCGCAACATCCTGAAAACAACGCAATCATCATCACACGAAAGCTTTTATTACGTCATACACATCTGCATACTCTCATGTCACTATGAATCAAAAAGCAGTGTAGGGGAACAATCGACTAAATCAGTGATGCTATTAACGTAATTACAGTTTTCAGTATTGCAAAAATAGCTGTTTACATAACAGTTTTTCTGATAACAAGCAACTTTTTTTCCAACAAATAATCCTGTAGCTTTGCAAAAAATATAATTCAAAGGTCATCTCAAATGAGAATGAACAAAAGTCCGTGTGGAATTTTACATCTTTTTTTATAGTGATATACTGAAAATTGGCAACATTTAACTGAATTATGTTTGCAGCTTGAAGTATATTTATATAAATATACATTCATATTTCTTGTCCCAAACAGATACTGCTTTCATTGTAAAAAATTATATATATTCTGTTGGCGCCGATAGCCTTGTAGGCAGCATGCCAACATACAGCGCCTTTGTGCTATGGGCGTCCCGAGTTCGAATCCCGACTCAAGGACCTTTCCTGATCCCGCCCCCTATCTATCTCCCACTTCGCTTCCTGTCAGTTCTGATCTGTCCTGTCGTAAAAGAGGCGAAAATACCAAAAAAAATATATAATCTGATAATGGTTGTATAATTAGAAACATATATCTGCTTTAAAAAGTTTTAATATTAGCTAGTAGCAAATCAGTAGAAAATGTTTCAATAGTTGGCTACTTTTGGCACTTTTCCACGGCATGAAACGGCTCACTTTTGGGGGATTTTTCACCGTGTACAGCACCTGGTACTTTTTTCAGTATCACTTTGGCTGAGGTTCCAAGCGAGCCGTACTGTTACCAAAATGTGACGTGTAAATCCTGCTGATCACTGATTGGCCGGAGAGAATCGTCACTACCTGCGTCATTGAACTTGCGACACGAGACACAACAGACCCGCTAGATTTAAATCAGCACAGCCAGCAAAGGATCGAACGCAACTTTTTTTTTCCGAATGAACGCAACTGTTTTGAACGAGCGCACCTTTTTTTTAACAACCAAAAAATGGCTATTTCGTGGTCTGTTGAGGAAGTACAGACGTTCCTCTTGTTGATAGCCGAGAAGTGGATCCAGCGAGATCTTGATGGGCCACGTGGAATGAAAAAGTTTTCAGGAGGTCACTCTGCTCTTGGCTGCCCATTATGTGTATAATCTCACCCACTCTAAAGCGGTACTAAACTGCAGTGGAAACACAAGCCGAGCCGAGTCGTACCACTCAGTGGAAAAGCGCTTTTTGTCAGCGCCAATAATCGTGGCTGTTGTGCTTTGGGCGTCCCGAAGCCCCCCCCCCACCACCACTACTTTTTGTTAGTAGTGTACCTTGGCCAACAATAGTAATACTGCCAAAAAGTATATCTTTTTAGGTAGCTTCAATTAAATTAGCTGTTTTTTTAAATAGTTCATTTTGTAGTGTAGCTACTTAGATAATCATCAGTCAAGCTTCCGTTGATAAATTATGAGTAGCTTCCAGAACACTAAAAGTTATTACATAAGTAAAGGTTGCATACTTCACTAGCGGCGTAAGTGTAGAGGACTTTGTTCTTAATGACGAACCACAGCCTCTTCCATGGTTTCTTGTGGCCTTTGGATCTTTGCAGATATCCACTCATGGAGGAATTTTCAGTGTTGGCAGACACCTGTGAGCGAGATGTCGTTTTAGTAGTAACATAGTAATATGACGTCAGTGTTGTGGAAGAAACAGAAACCTTCATTACAGTGACATTAGATAACGCAAATGCTGCAAGCCGTTGCATTATGGGTAATGTACAACTTCAAGTCACCTCTTTGAGGGCAGAAGGAATCTTCTTCTGTTTTCTAGAAAAAGCAAATGTTGAACTCCGCCCACTTGGGGAAACGGTCACATTGGATTGGTCACCTATGAGACAAAAGCAAAACAACATATTAGAAAAAAAGATGTAGTGTTTGCCTGTGCAACCACACTGCTAGTGCATTCTAATTGAACATTTCTAAGATTTCATCTTATATTTTTACTATTGATAACTTTTCATTTTAGTTAACAATACAACACTGCTGCTATGTGGTTGCTCAGGTTGTCAAGTATGAGCAAATACCATTATAAACAAGCATGTCCAATAAAAAAAAACTACTAGTGAAGAAGTGGGACTAAGAGAATATGAAAGAAGAGTAGAAAAAGTGGGTTTCTCAGCAGAAATCTCATACCCTTGTGCTGTAGTTTGATATAGCAGTGGTCACACACTCGTGCCAGCTGATTCTTTAGGTATTCCAGGTAGTATTTATTGGACGAACATGCCTGACACACCACCTGTTGCCACATCAAATGCAAATCAAGCCTATTTGTTCATTCAAAAAAAAAAAGAAAAAGAAACAAAGCCTAGAACTTATTTCTAACCTTCCCGCAGGCACGGCAGTGGTGGCGTCTCCAGGTGAGCGTGAACTCACACGTGCAGATCATACACATGGTCGTTCTCAAATCTGGAATCCAGATAGGAGCTTTAGAGCCCAGCGGTAGACCATCATCAGAGATTCCCTCCAACTACACAGGGGAAAAAAAAATAAGAGAGTGCATCTTTATGAAAAAAAAAAAAAGGAGCTTTATGAGCTCCTTCAAAAAGTGTCTGAAATATTGTCCTGCAATTATCTGTAGCTTTTTTATTTGGAAGCTCTGTCATTTGTTGTAGTATGAATTAGGGCTGGGTTTTGACACAAATTTCCTGATTCGATTCTCATTCACAAGCTTGTGATTTGATTCGATTACCAATGCGATTCAATATCGATTATTTTGGATATATATCAGGTACAGTACATGCCAAATTTTCTCAAGGAAAACAAATCTCAACTAATGCTGTAAAATATATATGAGAGTCAGTTGGTACTACATTACTATAATATTGAAGGTTAAAATTAACTGATTTGTTAAAATTTCACTTAATGAAGTTTTTAAAATAATAAAGTTACAATTACATAATATTTCTACTTCAATTTGTTTTGTTTTTTTCAAATATAAACAAACTTATAAGTTTGTTATAAACTTGTGATTCCATCAAACCCATCGTTTCATCACAATTTCACCATCCAGTTAGTCACATCAACCATAACTCCTTCAAAAAATAGCCAGAAACCTTGGAGTTATGATTGATGATCAGCTGACTTTCTCAGACCACATTGCTAAAACTGCCCAGTCCTGCAGATTTGCTTTATTCAACATCAAGAAGATCAGGCCCTTTCTTTCAGAACATGCTTCCTAGCCAGTTCTATCAAACCTTTACAATTAATCCAGAACGCGGCTGCAAGATTAATTTTTAATGAGCCAAAAAGAATGCACGTCACACCCGTTTATCAATTTGCACTGGCTACCAGTAGCTGCTCGCATAAAATTAAAAGCATTGATGTTTGCCTACAAAACCACCACTGGCTTGTTTTCTTTTCATTTATTATACAATTAACAAAAGCAAAAAAAGACCTCTAACACTAGCTTGCTCTATTCTTTTTCTATTCTATCTGTTTTCTTTTTATTTATTATATTATTTAAAAAAAACCTTGCTACGTGTACTGCGTTAAGCAAACTGAGACTTGTTATAGCACTTGTAGTATATCATTGCTCTTTTGTTGATTTTGATTGCTTCCATTGTCCTCATTTGTAAGTCTCTTTGGATAAAAGCGTCTGCTAAATGACTAAATGTAAATGTAAACAATGGTGGCTGTCATAAAATCCTGATGGATTTATTAAAACATAAATTAAATAAAGTAACATTTATAATGAATATGTTATATGGTGCATATATTTAGCAAAATGCCCCTCTCTACAGTTTATTTATCTATCTGACTAATGAGTTTATGGTCACCTTCAATTTATTAGAATTTACATTTTAAATTGCATTAGGTTGAATTCATGCTTAAAACAAGAACCAATATCTCCCAATATGGAAGATATCAAAGGGAAAACAGTTTTAGTTTTCTTACCCCATTGGCTGATAATGTGTCCTAAGCTAGACTTAATAAACAAGACTTTGTATTTTATGTCATTTTGCATCTCAAGGAAACGTATGTTTAAAGGGGTCATATGATGCTGCTAAAAAGAACATTATTTTGTGTATGTGGTGTAATGAAATGTATTTATGCGGTTTAAGGTTCAAAAAACACATTATTTTCCACATACTGTACATTATTGTTT